TAAGAATTGAGTTTGAGAATACATATTTTTCCAACCCTGGTTCATGTTTCGACAAGTATGGGGGGAACTACTTTATATGTACACAGTGGCGTATCCAGTGTAGTCCTAGGGTGTGCAACTGCACACCCTTGATTTTGAAAAAAAAATATTCCCTATATATTCATATATTATATAACTGTAAATGTAAAACTTGCTGATAAGATTTTGTAGCTGAACTGGTAGAGTACTCCCTACAAATTCAAAGAGGTGCAGAGTTCAAGACTTTGATGAGCCATCTATTTTGTATTTCAAAGTTTTTTTTTTTTTAATATTTCTATTACATATAATATTTCGAAAAATCAAAATCTCCTAATAAAACATATATTATATATTTTGCTATTTGCAACTTTAATTTCCATTCCTTTAATATTTTATATAATCTAAATTATTCCAAAATCTTAATTTTATATATATATATATATATATATATATATGCTTGTTTTTTTTTTTGTTTTTTTTTTGTTTTTTTTTTGTTTTTTTCTAATACATATAATATTTCAATTGTTTTCAATTTTTTTTGAATATGTGGGTATTTTAGAATATTTCAAAAAATCAAAATCTCCTAATAAAACATATATTTTGCTATTTGAACTTTAATTTATTTACCATTCCTTTAATATTTTATATAATCTAAAATTCTTAATTTGGATATATATATATATATATATATATATATATATGCATTATTACAATTATTTTCTAAATTTACAACTACGTGGGTATTTTTTTTTTAATTTTAAAAATTCAAAATCTGCTAATGAAATACACATTTTGTCACTTGCAACTTTAATATGCTTACCACTCCTTAAATATTTTCACCAATTTTATGTCTAAATATTTCCTAAATTAGCCCAAAATTTGTAAAATAATCCCTTTAAATTTGAAAATATTACATATTTTTATTATTTAATGTGTATAGTATTAAAAAAAAATCGGGGGCGCTGCCCCCGAACCCCCGTAAACTTTTACCTTTTTTACTATATTTAATTCCGAACACCCTTGGCAAAAATCCTGTATTCGCCACTGTATGTACATGACCCACCTCAATGTAAGAGTGATTTTTGCATGTAGAGTGATTTTTTAACGCATAGTGGTTTTCATTAATTTCATAGCCGTTTTCGTTAATGATAAGTTTTTAGTGAATTTTTGTAATGAAATTTGTTAATTACATAGTGATTTTCGTTAATTACAGATTGGTTTTTATTAATTATAGAGTGTTTTTTGTTAATTTGATAAGTTCTTAGTGATTTTTTGTAATGGAATTTGCTAATTCCACAGTGATTTTTTGTTAATTTATAGAGTGGTTTTCATTAATTTGTGGTTTTTGTTGATTACATAGAAATTTTCGATACATTTATAATGGATTTTCGTAACGGAATGCTATAATCACATAGTGATTTTTGGCAAGTTTGTGTTAAAAACAATTTATTTATTTTTTAATTTAAATTTGAAAAATAGAAGTATAAAAAATAAAAATTAAAAATTAAAAAAAATGAAAATTAGACTTTTTTAAAAACAAAATCAAAATTTTCTTATGAAGAAATCGAAAATAAGAAAAGAAATAAAAATGAGATTTTTAGAATTGATTTGGGAGCATTATTTTGGGCATAAATCTGTAGCGTGATTTGTGGGTATAATTTTTGGAGAATATTTGGTTTTAGATTATGTGTATAATTTTTTTTAATTTGAATAATAATACTAATTAATAATTAGTGGGGCATATATTGTTTTTCAGGCCCATTGGATTTATGTCAAATAACATTTACAAATAAAGGATTTATCATGAACATGAAGTAAATTTTTGAATGGAGGGTGTTTGGCATATATACATATATATATATATATATATATATATATATATATATATATATATATATATATATATATATATATATATATATATATATATATATATATATATATATATATATATATATATATATATGGGCTATTAGTGAGAACTCCCTTTAGCATTATTTTAATGAGCATGGATCTTGCTCCTTTTCCTTTATTAGTGAGAGACCCATCTTTTTTTTATTCTCAAATTTACCATTGCTCTATTTACTACCTATTATACCATACTTTGATGCATTTTTTATTTTTATATTTTAATTTTAATTTTCGTTTTTTTTATTTATTTCTTATTTAAAAAAAATATTTTTAATAACTTTTTATTATATTTTTAAAAAATATTTTTTGTCTTCAGTTAAAACAACTATATTTCAATAAAACAACTATTATTTAAACAACTACGGTTAAAAACAACTATATTAAACAATTGTTATTAAAACAATTATGATTAAAACAACTATATATCTCCAACAACTCTCATTTGTCAAAATCAACTATTTGTTAAATTAACTATTTATTAATATCAACTAAAAGGTAGTAAAAACAACTATATTGTTGTACGTACGAAAACAACTTTATTACTGTACGAAAACAACTATATATCTGTAAATATCATCAACACAATTTCAACAAAAACAAACATTCATTATACTATTGATTGAACACAAAATTAGCCTTCAATATAAGAATTTAACCAAAATCTCCAACTAAGAAAATTGAAATTCGAGAATTGGGTTTAAAAAAAATCAGAGAAGAAGAACTACAACAATCAAATAATGTTGGCGGTGGTCTCTATTGAAATTTCAGACGCAATATCAACCCTAGCGCCGTTGTGTAGTCTCGTCATTTTCTCTACCGAAAACCCTAACACCGTCCTTGACGAGAGAATTCCATGGGTGGAGACCGCCTTCTTTTCGCGGCGGTGGAGGTAGGAACGCCGATGGGAGAGAGTAGACGACGGCGGAGACAATTGATCTACTGTCGATGAAGTCGTATTGCCTCTCTAGATCATCGAGAATTGTAGCGGCGGCGGGATCGCAGATTCAGAGTCGGAGACGAGCAGTGACGATAGAGAGGGATCTACAACCAGATTTGTCGCAAGGTTCCGATGTTGTAGTGGCGACGGCGCTGTGAAATTGGAGATGGTGGGGGCGGTGGCGACGTCGGCTGAGGCGAATTTGTGGAAGATGTATATCTGTGTGAAGAGAGAGAAAAAGGAGGCTAAGAGAGAGTGAAAAGAGAAATAAAATAATAGGTTGAAACCTAGAAATAATTAGGTTAATTTGAATAGATGTGGGGTAATATGGGGCATAACAATTAATAATTTAATAAAATATTAGATTTAATTATGATATGTGGAGTTATCACTAATAAAGTAAAAGGAAGTGAATCCCCTCTAATATATCCTAATGTATTGAGAGTTTTTTACTAATAATCCCATATATATATATATATATATATATATATATATATATATATATATAAATGGTGCATCTGATCACATGTTATAGGATCTATAAACCGCAATTTAATATTAACTATCAACTAATTATCAATCATATGTTCCAGTTCAACGGTTTGACATCCGTACTTATAAATCCATTACACTCAATATTTGGCCATGTTACCTCATGTGCATACCCACATGGACACTACAATATTAAATTCAATTATTATTTTTTCTTCCAAAAGTTTATAAAATTGATAAAATTATGTGCAAGAGAAATCAATTGCGCTTCCCGTAGATTAAGATATTAATTGTACCAGGCCCAGACCTAGTATCTTAACGAGCAGTTGAGTCACCATAATTTATATTTTTCTATATCAAAACCTATCGAACCAGGGAATGGGTGTTCTGGAAACGAGAATTTGCAAGATATCAAATATTGAGTAAGTAGATAAATGATTTAAAAATAAAACATACATCTAAAAGAAAATAAACTAACAACCAAAGTAGACCAACATTTTTATAATACTTAAAAGGGGTCAATTTTTCAGCATCATCTCTTTTTCCCATCTATCAAAAGATTGCACCATGGTATGCAAATCTGGCAAATTGAAATACTTTACTAAATATTTGAATATCATAGTAATATAATTTTGGTACTAAAGATTGTGATAATTTTTTTCTACTTTTAAAAGGGGCAAACGATTATCCCACCACCAACAAATAGGTCAGGAAATGTTATACAGATTTACCCATATTTAAGGAGAAAATTGATTAATATACCCTTAAAAATATTTCGTATAGCTAAGTGTCAGTCCGAATATTTGAATTTGCTAAAAGTTTTTTGTGGCAGCTTAGTTGGACAACATATACTGAAAATAGAACTTATTTGGAGAGTTCACACAGAAAATATATAATTTATACTGAAAATTAACAGCTTAGTTAAAGAATTTGGACTCAAAATAGACATCTCAGATAAAAACAACATTTTTCCAATGAAGTTGTGGCGGAAATTAGACGTCCGACAACATGGGACTAACAGGGAGAGGCGAAATAGTGGAAGAAATATCATTTTTTTTTTCAGTATAAAATTACCATTTCATCTCTAAGCAATCTAAGTTGCGCGAATGATTTTAGCAAACTCCGAAAATATAGTTCTGATTTAAAAGCATATTAGTACTCCCTCCGTTCCATAATATCAGCACTTTGGAGAATTTTTTTTATTTCATATTATCTGTCACTTTAAATTTCCAACACTTCATTAATTATTTAATTTCCAGTTTATACCATTATCAATATTTGCCAACACTCTTTCTTTAACTAATTTCTCTCTCTTATTAATTATAAGGTAAGGTTATTTTAGTCTAAAATCATATAATTTTCCTAAAATCAAGACACATTTAATGAAATTCTTAATATTTGTGCAAAGCTAAAAAACAACAATTAAATTGAAACGGAGGGAGTATTCAAATGTGTTTAGCAAATTGCCGGCAAATTTAATGCTTATATTAATAATGTTGATGAAAAAAAGGTTGCTAATGGATTACGATTCCACTATTCATGATTAGGAAGCCAAAGAAATAAGGTCATAAGTAACATGCCCAAAAAGTAATTAAAAAAAGAAGAAGGGCCAAGAAATGCAATAATAGCAAATCAAAGCACAACAAACGCGGCGTCGTTTCCGCATCACATTTATGGACTTTGCTTCTTGATTTAATTTTTGCCCTAAATCAACGCCTCAAACAATGCTCTCTCCCTCTAATCTTCTCCCCAAAAATAATTTCCCTATAAATATTCACACTTCCATTATTCATTAATTCATATACCATTCATAAATATTTCAATCTAGAGAGAGAAGATTTCTAGAGAGAGAAAGAGAGCTTAGATATGGCGGCACGTTCATACACCTCTACTAGTAGTCTTTTGCTGGTGTTCGCAATTGTTATAATGGTTACATTATCTAATGTGGCTGAGGTAATTTCTACTGCAGTAAATCAATAGTTATTTTCTTCTTCTATTCTCCATTGTTACATTGTTATTTGTTCTAACTTATGGTGTCTCCATTTTCACAGGGATACAATCGCCTTCGTCCTCAAGGTACGGTTACATTAACATAATAGTATTTTAATTGCAATTTTGTAAACACTACACTACCCTTATATGCAACTGGCAGTGTATTCTTTGACGTAAAAAGACTCAAATACCCTTTAAATTAAAAACATTATTAATATATTTAACTTCCTTTTTACTAGTCTTTTTGCTGATGGTGGAGATAATTTATTTTTTTCTAATGTAATTCTATTCTGTGTTTGTATTTTTTTTAAATAAATATTATTAAAAATATAAGGGTAATTTTGTTTTTTCATCCAAGTGACAACAAAATTTGATACAAGGGTTGCGTACAAATAAAACACAATATATGAGGTTATGTGCTAAATTTTTTTACAACGAGGGGTTTTTTGCAATTTCGAAATAACACATGGGGGTCTGTGCTAATTGCTCGTAAATAAGTGATGATATACACGTTGAGAAACACTGGATCGGAAGTAAGAATGAAAACATAAATATTAATTTGAATTTATATATATATATATATGTAAACAGACTGCAAGCCACGGTGTACGTACAGGTGTTCTGCCACGTCACACAAGAAGCCGTGTATGCTGTACTGCTTGAAATGCTGCGCCAAGTGTCTATGCGTGCCACCTGGCACATATGGCAACAAACAAACATGCCCTTGCTACAACGTTTGGAAGACCAAAGAAGGCCGCCCCAAGTGCCCTTGAAATGCAATTGCATTATAGTTATTTTCTTCATTCATATTTACGACAATATTTAATTATTGTTTTTCTTATGAAAAAAAAAAATGTAGGAGGAGAACAGAAATTAATGTAGTAATCTTGTTTGTGGATTGGCTTGTAATATTTTCTTCCTTTCATAATAAATGTAAACCATGTGATGCAACTTGTAGTTCAATCTTTTGAACCGTTTAAAATGATAGTATTTTAGTGGACAAATTACGGCCGCCCCTGATATATAATCAAATTACGAAAAAACTCCTTATGCTTTGATAATTACGACTACCCATCAACTATGTATTGTTTTACACGTTCATCGCTACGGTGTCAATTTTACCTACTGAAGGAACGGTTTTTTCATAAGAACATAATTGGGAATGATTGTAATTATCCAGACATGAAAAACTTTTTCATAATTTGAACTTATGTCAGGGGCCGATCGTAATTTGCCCTACTTCAATTGTATCCTCTATATTAAACAACGTTTTGCTTTAAAAATAGTTAGAATAAAATATTAGATTCTCTCGGCGGCACTTTATAGGTCGAGCTTGTTGTATAATAAATTTAATGTAATTTATATTTCTCATGTGGTTTGCAAATTGTAGCACTAGAATGGAATAATTCAGTTATTGATTTCACTCTTCAGAAAGATAATGAAAAGTTGTGGTTTTATTTGGGGAAATTAGATGTTACACTTAGTTATTTATACTGGATAGATGTGAACCGTAAATCTATACATAATTACACATATCCATATATATGTATGTTTAGTGGATAATTATTTAATCAAATCTAAGATTCAAATTCACCGGTGTAAATAACCAAATATATCATCTAACTCCACTTTCACTTGTAGGTTGAAAAAAATAAAAATTAAAAGTTATAAAATAGTGTAAAATAGTCAACATTCATGAGTTGGTCTTCCACTCAAATCATTGAGTAGATCTTAAATTTCAAAAAAATCTCTATGGAATATTAAACTATATTACTGCATTTATTTTATAACAACTATCCCTTATAAAAAAAATTATTTTATATTATTATTTTACATTTTTAATACTGCATTAAATGTATATTTTTCTACTTTAACCTAATTAATTCAATTATAATCATTAACTCTCTTATAAATCATTAAATAATAAAGGTTATTTTAGTCTTTTTATGCGATTTTACCAAAATCAAACCAGATTTATTGAAATTTTTTAATACAAAAGTGAAAAGAGACAATTATTCAAGAAATACTATTTCTTAAATTCTTCTCTGACTAAAAACTTCAGTGTGATAACAATAAACGATGGACTTCGAATCCACAAACATTAATAAGAGAAATCGAACCCGAAGCATTAAACATTGCCCTCTCTTTACTCCACCGATTAAATCACTCTTACTGAATGGATTATTAATATTGAATTACAAAATACAAGGATTTACTCATATGTTTTTAGATACAAACGAGCAATATAAAAAACACCGAAGATCAAACAAACTAAAATATAGTATTCGTCGAAAAAAACCTTAACAATGTCCGAACAAGTAGTTCTCGTCTTTGTTTTATTTCATAGACGTCGATGATTACTTGATACAAAAGCAAGAGTAGAACAAACATTTGTATCACATTAGATAGAGAATACAAAGATGGATTAGTTAATTAGAGAATAGAACCTAAAAATGGGGTTCCAAATCCTATCTACATAACCAAACTATATATCGATTCAATTCCTATTCGGTCCCACTATCTTCTTCTTCGTCGTCGTCGTCTTCGTTTACTTCCGGCCGTACGGTTTGATTCATCATGAACCGCCAGCTGTCACCTTCCTCGATCTCCCATTGTTTCTTTAATTCATTGATCGTTTTACCCGCTGCTTCCGCTATTGCAGGGTTGCTATCTTCAGCCAGTCTCTGCCAAAGCATATATTTTTGAACTTTAAATTTTATTTAATTGCGAAAACATCGATTTCTTACATTATTATTTAAAGGGTAAATTACAACCACCCCTGAGGAATGGTCAAATTACGAAAACCCCCGTTATGTTTAGGTAATTACAACCACCCTCAGCTATAAATCTTCATACACGTTCACCCTTGCGGTTTCAAATTTAGTAGAATCTTCGAGATTATATGGAATATTATCACTTTTGTACCCGTTTTATTCCATTCGAACTCCACATTTTGAAGCAAGATGATCATACTGTGTTTTTTGGCTTGTATATATCAGATTGTAGTGCATCAGAAACTGTATTTTTACACAAAACGAGTACAAACTAGAGCACATTTCACGAAATCTAGATGATTATGTTGAATTTGACAGCATAAGGGTGGAGGTGTAAGAAAATCATATTTGAGGGGTAGATGTAATTATCCAAACCAGAGGGGGGTTTTCGTAATTTTACCATACCTCAGGGGTGGTTGTAATTTACCCTTAATTAAAAAAATTGTTATTTTTATTAGCATAAATCCACTTATGTTACATTTTTTTAAGGCCAGTGCCCCCACAAACAATGAGCTACAAGAGGTACAGTATATGCCTTTGATTTTCGATAGTCGGGGGGGTTTTATGCTAATTAAATGAATTCAAAGGATTGTTCGACAATTATAGTAAATACAGGGGGTGCCGAATAAATAAAGGGGGGGCTAAAAAGTTGTACCTGTAGAGCTCCCATGCCAGCATTTCCAAGAGTCCACATTGATGGAGCAGTTGATAACGCGTTAGCTAGTGCTCTCCTGCTCGTTCATCGTACAAAAAATCGGAAAATATATAAATAAATAAATATCTAGTCAGCCAAACGAGGCCTTAAATCGATCGAATTGAAAAAAGTAGAATATACCTGGTGCTGACATCAGGAGAACTTGAACACTCTGCCAATAGAGATACACTACTTTTACCATCCATTGCGTCGAGATCGATAAGAGCTGCCACGACCAACTCAAGCTGCACGAATAACATAAAATAAAATAAAATATTAAAATAAACACCAAATTGAAATTATGTTATACGTAATCGGAATTAATAATTAAGATATGTATTCATTTGATTCATACCTCTTCAGGATCGGTGTAGTCGATTCCATCAGCTTCAGAAAGTGCAGAAGCTATGCTCAAATAAGCATCCTACATTTTTTATTAAAAAAAAAATTGTTCGAAATTATTATTATTTTTTTCTCACTTTTATTACAATCTAAGGCAAATTACGACCGGCCCCCTGGGATAAGGTTAAATTACGAAGAAAAAAAAAACTAATGTTTGAGTAATTACAACCACCCCCTCAACTATGTAATGTCTTGCAAAAAACCCCTCCTTTGTAAATTTGACTTCGTAAGGGTGGATGTGTAAACATGAGGGTATTTTCGTAATTTGACCTTACCTCAGGGGCACTGCCGTAATTTGCCCTACAACCTATCTAAATATATACAAATGTGTCCAAAACAAACCTGAATTGCATTAATACGATCGGTAGATACCTCTCCGTGAATAAAATCAAGAGTTTTCCCGTTCTTTTCAAGTGTTATATGCCCCGATTCCTCGCTCGTGTTTGAAGAATCTTTTTTCCTGTGCAGAAATTAAAACAAAAGAAATTAATTTTATTTTTAAGGAAATAGTCGTTAAATAGTCGAGTGGCTAAGAAACTTACAATTTGTCCATTTTGGTCACCATCATATCATGAAGGTTTTTGACAAGCTGCCAACAAACGGAAATTCTTAATTCGTTAACGAAAATTAAATGAAAAAAAAATTATTCGTAACCAAACAAACGACTGTCGGATAATTTCTTTTTTACCTCCAATGCCATCACAGAATCTTCCATTGCGCGTTGCTTGGCAGCAAAGTCAGCTCGCTTCAAATCCGCCTAAACAAGAACAAATTAATTTAATTAGTGCACGTTCACCTTAAAGTGTTCGATTTCTCAAATGCAGTAGTGGTACAAATCGACTCTTATGATAGTCAAAGGGCTTCATAATTGACGGCAAAAATGTTATTACGTCAAATTCCGTTTTTTTGTAAAAAGCACACACACACACGAGATAGCTTTGTAGCACCATCACTCACCTCTAACGCACCGTCACTCCAGTGCTTGTCAGCTGCACTTTTCAACTTCGATTCAACAATATTTTTCAGAATCTAAAAAAGAAAAAAAAATGATCAGTAACAGTAGGGAGCAATTTAATTTCGGTATTTCTTACGTTTACGTAATAAAAAAAAAATCCCTTACAGTTGCAACATGATGAAGCCTTTCAGCTCTTTTCTTTACATTATAATCGATTTTTTCGGTATCTTCCCTTGCACGCGCTATTACCGAACAAAAACGACAGCAAGAAAACAATAAGCATCACAATAAATTATTTATTCAGATTCGATTGAATTTGACGTCTACCGATATAATATATATATATATATATATATATATATATATATATATATATATATATATATATATATATATATATATATAGTGATAAATAAGATTGTTACCATCGAGCTTGAGAAACGTTGTACCGAGAAACGCAACATCTTGTCGTGCACGGGCGTCCAGCATCATTAAGCCTCTGCTCGAGGAAATTCAAAACCATTAACAACTAATCTCAAATTTAATAGCATTATTCATTAGTAGGAGCAATTAATTAAAATTTACAATTTTTACCGTGAAAGAAGTACAATGTCGTTTTTAGCCCTTTCGTTCACGAATTTCGCATCACTAGAAACAAATCTACATGCTTCAGCCAATCCACCTCGTTTAGAGCTGATGCAAACACGAATAAAGTATTACATTATCCAAATCAACTATCACATTCAAGAAATCGAAAATCGGAAGTATTAGAACAAAAAATAATTTATTTATTTATTTATTTTCACCTATGTCGCACACGCTCTTTAGTTTCGGTATTATTTTTTCTTTCTGTGGACTGACATTTCACCGAACACCTTCGAGGCACAACGGGACTTTCTAAATTTCCACCCGAAATCCAAAATCCCTTTGTGGAAAACTTGAGTTTCGACATCGAGCAATGAACAGGGGCTTTATTGTAATTGTTAGCACAGTGGTGCGTAGAGTATAGCTTAGGGTGCTGCGGAGATTTCACCGATGAGTAAACGACTCCGTTTGCTTTCGCCATGAATGTGGCTCCGGCAAGAAGCTCCCCGTTGCAGTGTGGCTTTCCGTAAAAAGAGAGGAGAGACGATCAAACTGTTAGAGCGAACAGGCTAGGCTAGCATTTTGCCCGAAATCCGGACGCTGCGTGTCGAATAAACACAAGATTATCAAGGTGAGATTTTCAGGTATATGATTTCCACAAAACTGAAATGGATAACATTAGATGATGTTTATAATTAGGGTGAATTACGGCCACGGACAACCCCTGAGGTAAGGTGAAATTACATAAAAAAACCCTCATATTTGGGTAATTACAACCACCTCTCAACTATGAATCTTCTTACGCGTCCACCTTTCCAGTATCAAATTTAATGGAATCTTTTAGATTATGTGGAATATTCTCCAGTTTGTTACCCATTTTACCCCATTCGAGCTCCATATTTTGAAACAAGATGATCATAAGATGTGTCTTTTGGCTTGTAAATATTAGATTATGGTGCATCAGCATCCGCATTATTGCACAAAACGAGTACAACTAGATAACATTCCTAAATCTAGAAGATTATATTGAATCCGACACCATAAAGTTAGCCGCGTAAGAAGATACATAGATGAGGGATGGTTGTAATTACCCAAACAGAAGGGATTTTTTTTTTATAATTTGACCTTATCTCAGGTTCACCCTAATTTACCCTTATTATTATTACATTTATTTCGTTGAAAATTTAAAAAAAAAAAAAAAAAAAATCAACTAATATGTTAGTGAAGAAGCTCTGTAATCTGAATTTTGACAGATGAAAGTATAATCAATAGGGAATCATTAAAACCAGCAAGTACTTACACTATGCTGTTTAAACCAAGTCTTGATTCATGTACACCAAAACACACATACACACACACACACAGAGAACGAGCAATTTAAAGCAAGCAAATGATTAAAAATGATCATTATCAAGACATTTATTTATAATTTACAGTTAAAAAAAAAAACCGTTCAATTTGCGAATTGGAGAAAGAAAATATGAAAAATGAAGAAGCCCAGATTGAGGAACATGAGAGCTGAGAAGTAAGAGAACACTCACCTGGGTTAGGTCAAGAAAGAGGAGAGAGAGAGAGCTGAGAGAAAATAATATCAGAGAGGAGTGAGAGAGAGAGAGAGAGAGAATAAGAGGGGGGCCATGAAAAGATTGAAGAGATTGCAACCACAAACGGGGGTTGTGGCCCCTCAATTGCCAACACTACACAACAAAGAATAACCAAGGGGAAATAAGGTTAGTTGCAATTTTGGCAGGTTTGCCATCACTATAGACGGACCATCTACATTGGCTTTCATGTACTAGTGGCACAAATTTCACCACATCTTCAATGTACCTCACCTATTCAATTTCAATCCTATGTATATATATATATATATATTTGATGTCGGATTATTCTAGTTGGGTAGTTCGAGTTAGACACGGCCACGGCCCGGGTTGGGCCCGAACGCGCCCCACCCTGGACCCAACCAAAGTGGACCCGGACCCGGACCCGAGTTAGCATGGGTTGGTTTCAGGTCTTGTTTTTGTGGACCAGATACTCGACGGGTCGACCCGAGGACCCGGACTCGGGGACCCGATCCGAGGACCCATTGGGGTCCACTCAAATTTAATGTGTAAATTCAGAAAAAAGGCAAGGTTCGGGGTCGGAGCTGGGTTGCCCGAATGGTTTATAAGAATACTAACAATTTGGGCAAAGCAAGTTATTATAATATTGCTAACTGTAAACATATAAATATAAATAAAACTATAAAATGATTATAATAATTGTATAACTAATTTTTAATAAATTATTAATTGTAATTATTAATATTAAAAATCTCCACTACTAACAAATGCATATATATTTTGAAAAATATAAAGAATTACGGTTCAACCCGTGTAATTTAAAAGAAATATTGAATTTTGAATTTTTTTAATTTTGAAAAATCTCTCAGTTATTATTTTCACTTATAAAATAATATATTTAAAAATATAGATTATAACTCATTTCAATTAATTTAAATCGATTAACCTCGATTATTGGCAAGAACTCATTAAAATTATTGATTATTCTATCATAAAAATAGTAAAATATAATTCGTAAATATTGTAAGAATAAAACTTTTAATCGTAAGATTTGAATCGGTTAAGCTCTAAATTCTTTCAATCCGTACGCTTTATTCAAGGATTTAATTTATTAAATTCAACTATAGACAATGACGCATTAATCAAATTAACTATTTATAAGTTCAGTAATATATTTTTAAATTAAATTTTATTATAAAAAATAATAAAATTTAATTTGTAAAAATCGTAAGAAACAAATCATAGATAATTTTGATTCAAATTGTAAGAATCAATCGTAAATACTTTTGAATCAAATTGTAAAAAATAATAAAATTTAATATATATATTTTTGTAATTTTAATTTAAAGTTAAGCTCAAGAGCTTTCAAGTTTCAATTTACTTTTTTTTCATTGTAATTTACCATTAACAAAGAAAATAAATTAAAAACCCGGACCCGACCCGGATTTAGACCCGCCTCACCACGGGTCGGTTTCGCGTCCTCAAAATGTTGGACCCGGACCCAACCCGACCCATGGTCGTGTCTAGTTCGAGTGTCAAGCTGAACTATTTTTTTTTATCGGTAAAAATGAAATATATAGATTAAAACGAACTTTACAAACACACCGGGCATACCTAGGTAGTGTAATAAAAAAATGCATATCAATGCTTATACGTGAACTAGACCCCACAGGTCAAATGCAAAACGAAGATTGCGGGAACAAGGCAAAAACCATCTTGTAAACATGTATCTTGATCTTGAGCACCATCTCCGCTATCATAGGCGTCTCGTTCTCAAAAAAAAATCTGGTTACGAGCACTCCAAATCAGATAAACGGTGCACGCCAGAGCCACAATCTTCGTTTTTTGTCGCCAACATGAGCCCCAAGCTTCCTTCTTCAGCCATTCCAGAGCACTTTTCGACGTGGCCGTAGCCCGAGGGAAACCAATCCATTCCCGAATATTCCTCGAAACAATTATATGTAAACGCGCAACCAAAAAACAAATGGAAGGCATATTCATTCACTGTACAAAAAATGCATGACTTTTCGATCACTAAGTGCTTATATGATCCCTAGTCCGGAGCTTGGACAGAGTACCAAGCCACAAAATAAACAAGTGCTTCGGCGTAATACACAAACACCAGATCACGCTAAGGGCGAGGAACATCCTTCGGTCGAAAACATTCGTAAGCTGCAGTAGACCCCTACCGGGCAGCCCATACCACTTGGTCAGATTAGTTATTACAAGCTCATCCGTCCCGAAATGCATCCGAATCTTATCCCCAACACTTGCCAGGTACTGGAGAAAAGGAGAGTCTTGTCGGCCCGGCTCCCAGTTCCACTGAACGTTACTACAAATCACACAATTAACCCAACAGACCCACAGAGAGTCTTTCTTTGAATCTCCCAAAGATTTTCCGTAATAAGGGCAGCATTCCAAGCCCCTAATCCCTCAAATCCAAGACCCCCTTCAGACTTAGGAAGACAACATTTCTTCCACGCCACAGGAGCTCCCGCATTTTCCCATAAAAAAACACGACACAATTTAATAATAGCAATCCTTACCGTGACCAGGATGGAGAAAATAGAAAGCCAAAAACATTCAACACCTTGAAGGGTCGCTCGAATTAGCTCAGCTCGACCCGCATATGAAAGAGAAGCCTCCGTCCAACCAATATCTTGCCAAGCAATGGCCCGTGCTGCACAACCTTGAAGCGTTGTGCAGCCAAGGGGATTCCAAGGTACCGATAAGGCATAACTCCCCTAGCCAAATGCGTCATTTCATGTAACTCATCACCTTGTTGTTCGGAAACTCCTGCAAAATAAATATTTGCTTTAAGAACATTAAGCTGCAGCCCTGATTTAGCTCCGAAATCCTTCAAACAATCCATGAGCACTTGAATAGAAATAGGATCTCCTCTAGCCAGGAGCATCAAATCATCCGCATACGCAAGATGCATAATCTTCAAAGGTCCATATTTCGGATGGAAATTAAACTTAGAATGCTCGGTAGCCTTAGCCATCAATCTTGAGAAATATTTCAGGAACAAAATAAAGAGATAAGGTGAAGTGGGATCACCTTGCTGCAACCCCTTATTCCCTTTGAAATAACCATGCAGACCGTTGTCAATGGACTTCGAATAGGTTGGAGACGATACACATTCCGTAATCCATGCAACGAACATCGGTTGAAACCCAAGCCCCTTCAGCACATCAAAAACAAAATCCCAACTAATCGAATCATACGCCTTACATAGATCAATCTTGATAACACATCGAAGAGAAGCTTTTTTTCGATTATAATGCCGGAGAAGCTCCTGCATCAAGTGTATATTATCACTTATACTCCGACCTGGGATAAAAGCCGCTTGAGCCAACATCGCTGCAAGAACTTTAGTAATAATCTTGTACACAACATTGCAACACGCAATCGTCCTAAAGTCCCTAACCAATGGAGAGTGACTTCCTTTCAGCACAAGAGAGATAAATGAGTTGTTTAACTGTTTAAGAAGGGATCCGTTGCCAAAGAATTCCTTCACCACACCAACAACTTGTTCTCCCACAATATGCCAAAACTTTTTAAAAAATTCAGCAGAGAAACCGTCCAGCCCCGGCGATCTGTCCACTCCGATATCATCAAGCGCCTCCTTAAATTCCAACTCAGTAACCTCCTGAATGAGTTGAGCATGTTGCTGGTCCGATAAGCACGGGCCATTATAAATAACATCGTAGTCAATCGTCTCCATCTGTACCTTGGTCCCAACAAATCCTTATAAAAAGAGAGGAACTCCAAGACCACTTGTTCCGGAGAAGTTGTAGTTGCCCCGTCGCCGTGAGAAAGTGTCGTAAGACATTTCTTCATTTTGTTCCTCTTCACAATCGAGTGAAAAATTTTGTGCATCGATTGCTATTAAAGAGGTAAGCACTATTGGCTTCGGTTTGAAGAAGCTCCACTCAGCATTCCCTAATCTTAAGGCATCCTTACGGAGCTCGAGAATGGATCGTTGAATCTCTTGGTCCGTAGGGTGGTCACGCACCTTCTGCTGAGCCTCAATAAGGAGATCATTTGATATTTTGAACCGCTCAGATATGTTGGAGAAGTGCCTTTCATTCAACAATTTCAGATGGGATGATTTCTAATGCAACGCTCCCGAGAGGGTCATCTACAGGGACATCAACCAGTTCAAGTTCGATGACCGCTAAGTGTTCCGTTCATTCCCACCAAGGATAATCAATCTCTTTGTTCAAGTCACTAGACCATCCAGGTGTTTCTCAAGTTAAATACTTCCACAAGTCGTTCGGATCCATAATAAGGTCAATGCCCTTTTTGTTTATCTCTTCTTGGGGCATATCAGCTACTCGAGAAAGAAAATACTTTGAGTTAAAACACCAAAAGAGGGAAGCAGGCATATAAACCACATGGCATTGAGCTAAAAAATGGTGGGAGAGGGAAAGACATGGGTGTGAGTCCCGAAGCAGAGATAAAGTCCGAAGGTTAAACATCCGCAAAAAGAAAAAAACAATCATGCTAATGATAAACAATCATACATTAGCCACCTGGTATCATATTTGATCAACATTTTCATTCCACGAAATCTCACCTAGCATCTTTAAGTGTTTAGGGAGAGCACGATCTCGGGTCTCTTGCAAAATCCTACCGGCATCTCACTCCAAAACACTAAAGTTAGAATATTGACCCGACACTACTAGTCATTCCTTGGTTGTTTCATACGCTTACCCATTGGGGCGGATGTTGCCAGAGAGGCCAAAACTGCACTCTTCTCTGCATGAGCTTCTTGGGGACAAAACATATGTAGAGTGTGACCCAAATGAATTCTTTGTGAATGGCCCATTAAAATTCCACCTTGCAACCCACTTACGAGCAGCCCACAAAATTTGAGCCCAAAATTAAAGTTAGCCCAATCTCACTTTGGTTTTTCCTTATCTCTCTCTTCATCGTTTTCTATCTCGTTGTTTTTTTCGGCAGATGTTTTCAATCTACCCATTTTTTCTCTCAACAAATCATTCTTCTTATCCTCAACAAATCTTGGTGATTTGTTACCTGATTCTTCGGGAGTTTGGTGGAGGATTTGGGCGTATAAGTGCACCCTATTCCCTTTCTGTGTGGGGACGAGAAAAGGGAGAATACTTTGCGTATTTGAGTACGAAAAAATAGAGTGAAAGAGAGAAACCTTTTTTGAGAAGAAAAGCTCGACTTTTTTCGATGAATTCGAGCTTACTTCTTTAGGGATATACCGATGAGATTAGGGTTTGAATTTGGGTTTCGTTTTTCCTTTGGTTTTTTTCGTTGGGATACACTGTGTGTGTAAGCGTGTGTGTGGATGTTCTGAGTGTTTGGAAGCCCCACTTGGATCTTGGACGAGGACGTGGAGAACGAAGACTGAGCTGGATATTGGAACCGTCACCGGAGCAGCCGTCACATAATCTATCATTCGCAATTTTGTGTGAATTGCTCGGTTCTGTTCCTTACCCTTATTTATTTTCGGCATTAAATAAATCATGTTTTATTCTATGTAATTGGGTATTAATATTTAGAATAAAATATTGTGGATACGTGATTGCTTCACATTTTGCTTTCATAACTTGTTTATATTAAATTGTTGTCTACGCCTATAATTGTCTTCTGTAATGGCTATTATTAGGATTAATAGTTTATCTTTAAATTATTTCCAATAAATTATTATAGCTACATATAAATTGATTATTTCTATGGCTCTGTTGAATATTGTTTCTCTGGACGGATACCCAACAACATATCTTAGAAAGAGAAGGATCTTGGTCATTCTTAAGCCCCGAATATGACGTAAGGTGGAGTGAACGTGATAGCACATGAGCGTCAAAAATGGTTTGGATGAGATCAAGGATATTGAAGAATCTAAAGGAAGCGATGGGGGGTCAGGACAATGATCGGTAGGAAATGAGGGTCGCTCGCCATACTCAATAAAAATGATCGGTTGGTCCGCACTATTGGTTCGACTGGGCCGAATAAAAGTCACATCAAACGGTATGCCAAGATTGTCCTTAAATCCATCAATAGAGAATTGGGTGACATATATTGGAAAAAATTCGCAATTCTTTCGCTCCTCGAGTTTCTTCGTCTTCAGAACATCTTTCTTGGTTCGTCCCTTTTTAGGTTTGTGGGGCAGTTTTACTAAGCAATGTGAACATCAAAAAATTCTTCAACGATATTCTAAAGTGATTAATAGGAAAGCAATGATAAGTCCCCATCAATAGGTCTTAATAGAAGATCAGAGGATTCTAAATATAGCGAATCAAGAAAAAAAAAATTGATTCAAATAAATTTATTGTTCTTCCAATCAAAACCAACAAATTTGTTCAACATCACATAAATAAAAAGCAATTTATATCAGCAGGGTAATAAACCAGACACTAGCATTTCTAATAACTATTAATTTTTTCCTTCTTATTAATTTAATGTTGATACTTGAATTTAAATATATTTTAAATGAGTGGTTTGACTTTAAAATATTAAATTTCACATGTTAGTGTATTTTTATTATAAAGATTAGGGATGCAAGTTGAAACGGAATTTCTAATTTCCGCCGGTACCGATCCGAAAATTTCCGATATTAGAATTTCGATTTTCCGATTCATGTAATTGCCGAAATTAATTCTGAAACACACACCTACAAATAATATATATTATATAATACTTATTTTACGTTTTTTTTTTTTGTCGGAAACAGTAATTTGATTAATGTTTTGTTTTAGGATTTCGACATATTGAATTGTTGTTAGAAGTTATATTGGATATTATGATGTGGTTTATTTTTATCTATTTTTTTAACTAAAATTTAGTAGTCATCAATTTTACTTTTATCGACGTGGATGTTCTTATTTTTTTTTTAAATATGAAAATTTTGGAAATTTTCCCTAAGTTTTGAAAATTTAAAACTTATTTGATTTCCGATTTTTTTTACGAAATTCCAAAATTTTTGCGTCTTTTGGAATTGGAATTGGAATTGGAATTGGAATTGATTTTGTACTTCCGATTTTTTTTGGAAATTTTCCGAAAAGGCTTATTCCGATCCGATCATCCGACTTTCACCCCTAATAAAAATCAATACCGATATTTTGTACAATTCTTAATAGTTAGTTAAATATCTTAAATACGATGCAATACAATATGTGGAGGAAAACAATATGCGATATATATTCTATTTGGTAACACCGGTTGTTTCGCCGTTTCCGTTTTCCTTTTTGCCATGTCCCCGTTCCCGTGTCCGTATTTCCGAGCTTACAACTTTGGGCAAATGGCTAAAAGGCCCATCACATGGGACTTAAATGCATTTTGGTCCACAAAAAAAACAGTCTCTCAATTAAACTCATCCCCATGTCTTTAGTCTAAAATACCCTCAATAATATAATTCTTATCAATTCCACCCATTATGCTCTAACTTCCTTAATATACACATTGACCCCGGATTTAAACAAATATATCACATTAACCCCCAAAACTTTTTTTTTTCAGAAAATAATTTTTTTTCTGAAATGTTTTTTTTTCGGCCAGATTCCGGCGTTGACTTTTTTTTTCTTTTTGAAATTTTTTTTTTCCTGAATTTTTTTTCCGGCCGGTCAACCACCGTTGACTTTTTTTTTTTCTTAGAAAAAAAATATTTTAATTAATATTATTGTCTTGGCTACTAAATTACTATCTCAGACAGTAATATTACTGTTTGGGACAGTAATATTATGAATATTATTTTTCCGAACAGTAATATTATTAATATTATTGTCTAAGACAGTTAAATTACTGTTGGAGAGAGTAATTTAGCATCCAAGGCTGTAATATTAATTAAAATAATTTTTTTTAAGGAAAAAAAAAAAAAAAAAGTCAATTAACAGTTAAATCACTGTCTCCGATAGTTAAATAACTGCTGGAGACAGTAATTTAGCAACGAATACAGTAATATTAATTAAAAATATTTTTTTTAAGAATAAAAAAGTCAATTAACAGTTAAATTACTGTCTCCGACAGTAAAATAACTGCTGGAGACAGTAGTTTAGCAACGAATACAGTAATATTAATTAAAATATTTTTGAAGAAAAAAAAAAGAAAAGTCAATTAACAGTTAAATTACTGTCTCCGACAGATAAATAACTGCCGGAGACAGTAATTTAGCAGCCAAGACAGTAATATTAATTAAAATATTTTTTTTAAGAAAAAACAAAATTATAAAAAAAAAAAACAAAACAAAAAAAAAAGTCAGCGCCGGAGACCCGGCGGTCAACGGCAGTTGACCGGCCGGAAAAAAATTTCAGGAAAAAAAAAAAGTCAACGCCAGAGACCGGCGGTCTCCGGTGGTGGCGGGTCAAAATTTGGGTCAAAATTGAAATTAGGGTTAAAATTGGTTAATTGATAAAATTGGGCTAAATTGGGGTGTAAATCATGAAATAAGAATTGAATTGGGTTTCAATGAATTGAGGGTAATTTTGGTATATATAAAAGGATTTTCCTTATTTGCATATAAGTTTGAATGGGATGGATTTATTTGAAAGACAAAAAAGTTGGATGTCCCTATTTTAATTAAGTGCCCTTGTCATGGGCCTATTTGCCATTACCCCTACAACTTTTACCATTTTGTCTAAAAATATAAAAGTTGGTCTAGGGACCGCCAAGCAATAAAGGTTTAAAGTTAGCTTAGGGACTCTATCAAAAACAAAGTTTAGTTAGGGATTACAAAATAATTAACGAAAAGTTATTCAGTACTGGCTCATTTTTTACAAGGGCCCCACATATACAACTTTATTTTTTTTGCCTTCAAACCCTCGCAATAATTTTGTCGATAAGCTCTGTCGTCTGTCCTTTGTCTCTCTCTCTCTCTAACATTCAGACTTTTACCGTGATGTGAAGCTGACCCGGCCCGGACCTCTCTCTCTCTCTCTCTCTCTCTATCAGTGGGGCATTTTCTTTCACTTTTCACTCTTTTCGGAGCTTTTCTCTCTCTAAATTACAGCTAGGCAGCTTGCTTCAATGGCGACCCAAGAGCTCAACAAACCTCCTTCACTCCCTTCGTACCCACAGGTGAAATTTTACCTAATTTTCTGATTTGTTTCTATCCGAATTTTCCTCCATTTCGAATTTTGGTGTACTGTGTGCTTCGAACAGCTATAATTTTGTTTCTCTCTCTTTAATTTTTTTTTTTTTTTTTTACTGGGTTGAATTGTTATCCTTTTCCTGTGTGTGATTTACTGCTTGAATTGTTATATTTTTTTACTGTTCAAAATAATTGAAATCTTCAATTTTGCAGGAAACCCTACCTTAAAAAATAACTACAAAAAAACAGAAACCCTCATTTTTTGATTCCTTTTTCGAGAAGACAAGAATTTGTTACAGTAATTTGATCCAATTAAATAATTTTCGGAATAATAAATAAATTAAATAAATATAATTTGTGATCTGAGATTTTTCGTGTGTCAAACAAGCTTAGATCTTTACTCATTCTGATTATTTCTGTCTTAACCCAGTAAAATTTCATTTTCAAGGAAGTGAAATTATGTTAAAAATGTCACCTTTTCCCCACATTTGAATTTATTTAATTTTTTATTTTTTATTTTTTTTCACTGCCTAGATGATTATGGAAGCACTAGACGAACTGAAACAAGCCGAGGGGGCAAACAAATCATCGATATCCAATTACATGGAGTCCAAGTACGGAGAAATGCCACCTGGCCATGCAGAATTCTTGACACATCACCTAACCAGAATGAAGGAAGGCGGCGAGCTTCTCTTCGTCAAGAACAACTACCTCAAGCCCGGCGCGGATGCACCTCTCAAACGAGGCAGGGGCCGCCCCCCAAAGGCAAAGGAGCCTCTACCCCCGGGGGCCCCCACCCCCACCCCCGCCCCTGCCCCTGCCCCCGGCCCCACTAGGCCAAGGGGCCGGCCAAGGAAGGATCCAAATGCACCCCCCGCCCCCAAGAAACCGAAGCCTCAGGCGGGCCCGCCGAGCATCTCCAAGACGGGAAGGCCTAGGGGAAGGCCGAGGAAGGTCAATCCACATCCATTGCAGAATGTAGCTGAGGTTTGAATCGTTTGTGTGATTCATTTTAGGTTGCTTTAATTATTGAATTGTATGTGCGTGTGTGTGTGCGCGTGTGTGTTTTTCCTTTTAAAAAAAGACTTTGTAGGGTCTTGTGTGTAGTAGTGTCGTTTGGCCAACTTTGATGTAAATTTATGAAGTATGCTCGGTGTCTAGTGATGTTTGTGGAGTTTCAATGAGTAGAGATTTATCTAATCTTATTCGATAAGGTTCGCTTGTTTATTTTTGTGATTGTTGCGTTTATCACCATTCATAATTTCGGCAAGTGTCGGGCCTCGTTCAATAGGTTTGAGTGACCTTGATATGCAATGATTTCTTTGAATAAGAATTCAATATTTCATATCATGAAGTAGAATTGTTTTTTCTCTTGCAAATGTGGCCACAAGGAAATAAGTGACATCGATCAATCATACGATGAATTGTGTTGTCGAAGGTTCGACGGTTGTGATGATTTGGATGTAGAAATAAAGCTTTATTTAGGTGGGATTTGGCAGGCAAGTAAAGACATTTTCTGTCTGTTGCTAGTTTCTTTGGAAGGTTGGAATATTCCCTTTTGATTGCACAAACACACACACACACACACATCATTCAAAAACCTAGTATATAATTAGTCATATGTCCTTGTCTACTAAACACTTGGGGCCCACCATGGAATCTTGATTTTATTCCTAGTGGTGTATTATTAGGTGTCGAAAATTTGTTTTGAAGGTACAGAAACTACTGTATAGATGTGTATCTGTTTTATTTCCGCCAAGTTCGGATTTTTCCGGTTACGAAATCACATTTTTATAAGTACGTCTTGTCGATATACATTACTGCCCCGTTTGATAGACTTGATCGGTTTTCATGCATTACTAATCAATGTCAATAGTCCGTCGGATTAATGATTTGCTTGATAGTGGATTTGATTATTGGGCAGATTAGAAATCGACTCCCGTCGAACGGGGGCTTGAGGCTTACTGTATTGACTGTTGACGCATCAAAAGTTATGAATTTATGTCTTTATACAAAATGAATTCCCTTACAAGAATAAATATCATCACAATAAAAAACTATGATTCATCAAACTGTATTGAGAATCCACAGTGACGTCTCGTTACTCGAGCCCCGACACCTCATCAAAAAACAGTTCACTTGTCGGATTCCGAAAATGATTCTCCGTCCCCATATGCATTGTTCAATCTCTGGCGAGTAATGATGGAAGAAAGAAGCTGATACCACTTCGATAGTGCTTGCGCCTCGTTTTTCCTTTTCTCCTCACTTTCTCGTCTCTCTTCTTCTTCTAAATATGCCTGAAAACACATTGTTTATCATCAAATTCAACAGAATCATTGAAAACCAATCATCGGCTTTTGATTTCACAAGTACTATTTCATTAAGAAGAAGGGTCAATTAAAAAAAATAATAAATTAATAAAAAATTAGAACCACAAGTTACAGAAGGATGAATAAAATAATTTTCAGCAAATCTTGAATAGTAGCAAGTTAATTTCAAGAACTCAACTCACCTGTAGAACAGCATCCTTAAACTCCGTGCAAACGACAATACCCTCGAATACAGGAAAAGACTGGCCGTTTTTGAATTCAAATCCAACAAAAGCATGAGCAAAATCGATACCCAGCCTTCTTGCAACATGGACTACCCTTGGCAGCCGCAGATGGACTGTACCTGGTGGGAGGCACTTTTCAGACCACACATCCACTCGACCACGTTCATTCTACAAATCAAACATCCGAGGTTAGAATTTTTCTAATTAAAAAAAAAAAAAAAAAAAAAAAAAAAAGGACATTTTGACACAAGTTACGGACGGAAAATAAGTGCCAGAGGCAAAATCAGGTCAGAATTTATTTTTTCTATTCATCTATAACAACATAGTATATATGTGATGATGATCTACGAGGACGTAGGAAATTGAATTTAGCACGGTGGTTGTCGGGACCGTTTGGTCAGATTTCGAGAATTGCATCGAAAACGTCGGGAGGGGCTAGTTTGGGCAAGGCAACCCCGCACGGCCTATGTCGTCCCGCACGTCCAAAAATTTTCCGACCAAAAAAAAAATCCAAATTTTACGAGGACGTAGGAAATTGAATTTGACACAGTGGTTGTCAGGACCGTTTGGTCAGATTTCGATCGGCATGCAGTACAACCTCACTCAAAATGGAAAACATGTCTACCTTAGGCACAATCCCGTTAACAGCTCGAGGAAGAACAAGTGGTTCCGTTTGCCACTTCCCATAAAGGACAGTATTCCCTTGATGATCTTCTTCACCGTTGTCATCATCATCTGCATCTTCTTCTTTGCTACACTTCTGTGAACGCTTCAGAACCTATACAAAACAGAATAAAACATCCGTATTCTTCAAACCGCTGATCAAAATCAGAAATTATTTATTGAAAGAAAAAAATAATTAAAAAATGAATAATTCCACAAAAATATTATATATTATATATATATTATATATATATATATATATATATATATATATATATATATATATATATATATATATATATATATATATATATATATAGATATATATATACCTTAGCAGGAACTTCGGCATCTTTCACTTGCAACCCCTCACGCAACCACCCTTGCTTAGTATGAAGTGTTTGGACACAAGTACGAGGATACACGGCATGCCCGGAACAAAATCCCAAGACGGGCCCTTTGGGATACAGAATTTGATACTTCTTAACCCATCTTTCAATCACATACAAGTGATGATTTCTATATGCCTAAAAAATTCAGAAAATAAAAACGAGAAAAATCATAAACTGCATTTTCTAACCATGGTACGAACACTATTTGAAATGAAAATGCAAATCGTACTTGTTGATTGGTGGGAAGTGGTTCAGTAAGTGCTCGAGTTTGTAGTTCTATATCTTCTAGGGAGCTCCTGGCACCATTTGCTCCCGACTCCAACTCCTTCAGTGGTGCAAGAACTGCATCCCACCAGATCGAATTGATTCGTGACGATGCTACCTTGTACCATTTTGTGCAATATCTGAAATGATTTTTACTATTATTAAGTAAAGATATTATAGGACGGAGTACTTGTATTTGAAGATTTAACAATACAACATAAGAGTTTCGTCAGTATGTGCAGATTCTGGAGTTTCATTAAACCAGATTTGAATGCAGCGCCCCTGGTTTGTTTTTAGAATTATTCATAAAAAATGCTAAAACAAGTAAAAATTTATATATAATTTTAGGGTAAATTCCACCTTCCCCTCTTGTACTTTGGCTTGGTAACTTTACCTCCTTACTACTCTAGATTGCATGGATTTGCCCCCTGCACTTGAAAAATTGTCTCAATGTGGCCCTCGTTGTTAGTTGTCAGACATTTGACCTCAACACCGTTTGTTCTAAGATTTGAATTTACAAAAACACCACCTCTCTCAGTTTAAATAATTATTCAAAAAAACAAAAAATAAGTATAAAAAAAACAAAAAATAAAATAATAAAAAATTCAAGACAACGAGAAAACATAGTCCAAGACGCCAGCCACAATTTATTTTTTATTTTTTTAATTTTTTAATAATTATTTAAACTGGGAGGGGTGACTTTTTTGTAATTTTCAGACTTAGATCGAACGGTGTTAAGGTCCAAGGGCTGAAAACCAACAGCGAGGGCCACGTTGAGACAATTTTTCAAGTACAGGAGGGCAAATAGATGCAATCGAGAGTAGAAGGGGTAAAGTGATATCAAGCCAAAGTACAAACGGGGAAAGTGGAATTTACCCATATTTTTAATTACAGTATAAATTTTAGTATTATTATTTTAGTACTATTTTAGCCAATTAATCAACAAAAGATGAAAGATTTCGTACCTTCGTGTCACGTCCTTAGCCCCATTTCCAGCAAAAGCAACTACATATCTCAAAGATTTTTTGCATGCAGCAGCTGCAGCTTCTACTTTATGCTCTCCGTCTACAATCGCATTGACAGCATCGACATGCACCCATTTTCCCGTCAAATTCTCTCCACTACAGAAAACCTCCGCCCAATAAAGTGGGGCTCCAACTTTCTTCGATCCAATAGCCGTAGATATCCCATTCGATTTCTTCAGTCTTTTAGAAAGTGGAGTGAGATTCGAGGAAGTGCTCGGTGATTCTGACGCCGTACTGATTTTACAACTTTCGATCGCTGTGGCCGACATTGCCATTTCCAACTGCATCTGAAATTCAACATCTCCTTTCCTCTTCAATTCCTCGGATTTCACGGGTAACGGTTCGGAAGTTTCGGTTGGGGTTTCAGACATTTCAAGTTTTGGTTCGTCAGTGGTAAGAGAATCTCGGGATTCGAACAAGCGCTTTCTTGATTTATCTGGTGATGATTTCTCAGTGCGTTCGGAAGAACAGCTGGGCCCGGCAACCATCAGTGTCGATGAGCCGAATACGTCTTTCAGTCTCTTGCTTCCGACTTCCGTGACGGACTCTGATTTGTCAGCGTCGGGCTTCAAAGAGGCCACATCCAAAATGGAAACAAACCTGAGGAATCACAATCTTAGGTCATAAAGCATAACTATGTCGTAAATTATATACACAACAAACAAATAATTAAACATCGATTATTAGTGGTTTTCTATAAGAAGCTTTTGTGGTTTCGGGAATAAGATCACGACATTGCTCCCGAACCAAGAGTTTAGGTGATCCTACCTCCAGAACAACATTAACTTGCAAGAAACAGGCTGCAAAATCTCAGCTTCCTATGAAGAAAATAATCGCTCACAGTAAACTTTTCACCCATTCCCACTCAGCTTCATTACTTCCTAATAAGCTTATGTTCGTTAAATCATGCTTAACAGATGACAGGAGAATGGAGGTCACCATTCGAGAGGAACTTTATGACAAGTCCAGCAGGTGACCGTTCTAGACAGTAGAACATCGATAGCAACAATATGTATTACTAGAAAAAATAAAAAGAAAAAACGTAAGCACAATGCAGGTGTTATCGACAAATCTAGAACCACATGTAGCTATTACCATCGTCAGTGCATGGTGGAACTACAAATTAGCCATGTAACTTGGGGTTATGCCGACGGCCTGAAAATTGTCCTATTCAGTTATTAAAAAAAAATTAAATTTACTCCTGCAACCATTACAAGAGCTCGGAGTTGATCCACTTTTTTGCTGGAAATCTTGAAAAATAAACTACACGTAAACAACAGCATTCTTTTTTTCGGAACACACGGATTAGGGCCCCGACTTCAGCTCTTATGATTTTGAGTGCAGAAGGTTTTTGCAATTCAGTACCACATCAATCAAACAAGAGATCCTATGTTTTAAAACAAATGCCCCTTAAATTTGCTTAAACAGGTTTCGAGTCCCCGAATTTCCAACTTAAATGGTACTTCTAGTACAAGTAACATGTACTAATTATTATTATTTGCATCACCAAGAGTTTAATCCTATATCCATCTCTGGAGGCTGCTTCAAAGGTAAACCATTGGATAATAAGTTCCGTACTTTAGGCACAAGAACAAGAAAGTATGGCCAGAATCCATTGGATATTTCATAACAGAGATCCGATGACACAACGAGAATGGAGTGGAGTTATCAAACAGAATTTACAATTTTTTTGTGTTAGTAAATTTTCGTACCGAGTTGTCAGGTTCAAAGCCCTGAATAGTGCCACAGATAATGCTGCAACCTGCACGGATAATAACAAAGGAGAATCTTCAGATAAAGTACAAGACCTAATGTTCGTACATTGAATTCGTGTTTAATGCATATGCCAGCTAACTAGTGCTTTAGCTTTGATATTTATCGCTATGTAGATAAAACGTGTTTAATGAATAAGCAAGTGAAAACTAAATATGTAGCAAACAAATTCCGGAATTTGTTATTATCCCCGACAAATTGAAAAACTGTATCAATATCTTATACATTAAAATGAGCAGTAGATCCTCGTTTCTGTTACAGAATTTAGCTCTTTAAATCCATGCGTAACCTGACTACATATACCATATCAGGTTTATGTAAACTAATATCGTAGAAAATAAAAGCAGCAAAAATAAAAAGTGATATCAGCTGAATGATCCTTTTTATGATTTACAGAAGTACGCATAATTAAAAATCCCAAAAATTAACGCAAGGCACGAATTGGACATAAAAATGGGGGTAAAATAGTACCGCTTCTGGCGACCCCTCTCGAGTTTCCAACGTAGACGCCAGTGCTAAATGACATGGCGTCTCGGCGGCAATCGGACTTCGTACATGGAAATTGTTGTGGAACTGATTATAAGCAGAAAATGATCGCAGAATCCAATGTCAAAACTTAATTATCGGTTAGCAAATAATACGAAGAAGAAACCGACACGAGAGATATCATACCCAACTGACAAGAGGGGATAAATTACTAGCAGTGAGTGTGGGCGAATCGGCTATCTTCAGCAAGGATGTTGGAAGGAGAGAAAGTAGAGAAGCCTGCAATTATTCGGATATTCTTGTTAAGGAGACTTTTATTATGCTTCTCTTTATCTCATTGGCTAAAAACAGATAAAAGAAATCATAAAGAAAGAGCAATGGATGAATACATTATTAGGAGAGAGCAATGTATAAAATGGCTTGGATCAAATATTAATAAAATGGGTAAATTACAAACACCCCCTGAGGTATGGTCAAATTACGAAAAAACCCCTCTTGTTTGGATAGTTACATCTACCCCTCAACTATGAATCTTCTTACACCTCCACCCTTATGGTGTCAAATTCAACATAATCATCTAGATTCCGTAGAATGTACTCTAGTTTGTACTTGTTTTGTGTATAAATACAGTTTCTGATGCACCAAAATCTGATATATATACAAGCCAAAAAACACGTCTTATGACCATCTTACTTCAAAATGTGGAGATCGAATGGGATAAAACAGGTACAAACTGGTGAATATTCCACATAATCTAGAAGATTCCACTAAATTTGAAACCGCAAGGGTGGACGTGTAAGAAGATTTATAGTTGAGGGGTGGTTGTAATTACTCAACCAGGAGGGGGGTTTTCATAATTTGACCATACCTCAGGGGTGGTTGTAATTTACCCTAATAAAATATAAGCTAAAGGAACAAAAAACGAGACAACGTAACAATATAACCTGAATGAGAGGATCATCACAAGCGGAATCCACCAACCTTCCCCTTCCCAGTAGACAAAGCAAATGAGCCTTGTGCACAAACTCAGCAACATCCTGTCACAAAAACGAAATATGTAATTTAGATGGCACGAAGCAAACGAGCGCAAAAAAAGGAAGGCAATACTTTCGCAAATTGACCTTCTCTTCTGCAGTAGCTCTTTTAGCAGGCTTCCGCTTCGTCAAGCAGTTAGAAACATCAAACTCAACAGAAACTCCGTCGACCGAATCTTCTTGGAAATCTTTCATGGAAGATAATGTAGGAATAGACCCGTTTTCCCACTCACAATCATCATCATCTACATCATCATCCTTTGCAGGACTAAAAGCATATTCCGTTGCATCCCTGCTGTAAGATTCAGGGTCGGCTGTATCATTTCCTCCGGTGGGCCCCACGGGATTTTTCTCAATGTCGGTCGATCCTCCCTCCATCTAAAAGGTGGTCCAAAAAAGAAATATCAATAAGGGCAAAGAAAACATCAAGCTTCCCTCATATACCCTCGTTTACGCAATAATAGGAGCTAATATTAAATACTCTTATATATTAATATCCAAAAAATTAGAATTCTTGATTCTATTCGGATCCCAACTTATTTCTTGTTTCTGAAACTGTACTCCGTGACAAACCGTCTATTGTGACACGGACTTTGCTGCATCAGTCCTTAATAAATATGTAATCGGAGATAATATAACAAACACGCATAAACAACTAGAATGCTGTGCCTTTTAACTAAATCTCCATTACAACTTACGAAAGCCTTGGGGGGAAATTACGAAATATAATACAAAAGCAAATCGGCAGTTGATAATACATACAAAACGATCCTGAAAATAAGCGATGAGGAAAATACTAAAGAGCGAAACTCGCCTTGGCGGCAGATTCACAGTGACGCAAGTAACCGATATCTTCTTTATCGAACCCTTTCTTAACTCTTTTCAAAAGTTTTCCGACGGCATCTCGAGAAATGTTTGGAAGGGTTTCTGATATTTCAAAATGCAGCTATGATTACTGAAAATGCCCTTGAAAAAAGCTTCACTAAATTCAAAATAAATAGCAAAATGAACACAATAAACGAAACCATTATCGTCGATGTTGTCTGACACGTGGAGGCCTTCGATTGCTTCCATTTTCCCTACACACACACACAGAGTAAAAATTAAACTCAAAAAACCAGAATTGGTGTTAGCCCAACAGCCAAATTGCAAAAACTAACTCGGAATTTTCAAAAAAAGGAATGAAACAAAAAGTAAATGATTCAATTAAAATTGCAAATATGTGACTTGAAAAGTTTGAATTTTGTTGATTTTAAACACAATTGGTAAGACTAATTTCCCAAAATTTCACAAAACACAAAGCCCTTAGGAAAACAAAACAACTGCGTGTGTGTGTGTGTGTGTGTGTGTGTGTGAAAATGCGATTGAGGAACAAACCAACTGATCGGGGGCGCTTGGCTTGGCTTCTGGTTCGCATTCTGTAAAAATGGCTGGGTGGGTGGTTGGAGGCGACGGAGGCCGGCCGGTACAATTTAGAGAGAGAAACAAAACTCGCGCGAGGCGCAATTTATTCAAGAGAAGCACCACTTTGGCGGTTTAAGAGTGTCCGGCAGGCCGGAATCCCCTGTGGACCGGGTTCGATGTTTTCTTTTTCCTTTTTTTTTTGTTCTTTTTATTCTTTTAAACACAAAAACTATGTAGCACGGATACGGACACGGACACGGCGAAACGAGAAAACAGACATGGGGAAACAGAGAAAACGGCATATACAAAAATGGGGATACGTGAACTTGGGGGAAAATATATAAATATTAAAAGTAGATCGGTATATTTATAGATTTGCTATATAATCATATATGAGTTTTTGTTTATATATGAATTCTTGTTATACTATTCTATACGAACATATTCAAAAAAAATTTTAGGGTAAATTCCACTTTTCCCCCTTGTACTTTGGCTCGATATCACTTTACCCTTTTATACTCTCGATTGCATCGATTTGTCCCTTGTACTTGAAAAATTATCTCAATACGGCCATCGTCGTTAGTCTTCATACATATAAACTCTGAAATTACAAAAAAAAACCACCCCTCACAGTTTAAATAATTATTAAAAAAAATTTAAAAATAAATTGTGTCTGGCGTTGTGGACTTTGTTTTCTCATTGACTTGAATTTTTTATTAGTTTTCTTTTTGTTTTTTAAATAATTATTTAAAGTCGGAGATATGACGTTTTTGTAATTTCAGAGCTTAGTTCAAACGGTATTAAGTTCAATGTCTGATAACTAACAGCGAGAGCCACATTGAGACAATTTTTCAAGTCCATGGGAGGGCGAATCGATGCAATCGAAAGTAGAAGGGGGTAAATTGATACCGAGCCAAAATACAAAGGGGGGGAATGGAATTTACCCTACATTTTATTACCAACTATCAATTTGCAGTTGATCATTAAATCATGTAAATAATTAGGGAGACAATAAAAATATTCAACAATTTGCTCATCAAACATGTTTATAACTTTTCAAAAATTGCAAAATGGCTCCATAAGGTATCCGACAGGTGTTCTCGAGTTTCGAACACAAAATGTATCTGAAACGTGGAAACGTTACAAAGTTGAATTTTCCGTGCTTCATTTTTTCTCATTTCCCCCCATAATAAATCTAGATTTGTTAAGCTAAAGTTTGCAAAAACTTCATCTAAATAATTCCAAGACAAACAAATATCACTTTATATTTTTTTTCTTTTCAAATTTTATTCTAAAATAAAAATTTCCAACAAACTTTAGACGTGATTTGCCAGTTGCTGTGTTTTATACTTTTATTTCTTCTCCGAAAATATAAACAAATGTTAATTTTATTCTCAAATTCTTTCTCCACCAATTTTTTTGTCAAAACAAAATGGAAATATGCCCCAAAATAGGGATAATCATATATTTTCATCACTAATGTTTATACTATTTTCACTTTCAATCCCTCTAAACAAAAATATTCCAATGTTACCAATTCACGACACATTAGATCCATCGATTAGTTTGACCGTTACCACCTAACATGAAATTAATGTTTAACATTAGCTAAAGATATAACATAAGTTTAGAGTCTTGTGTGGGATGATTTTTGTGTGCGCTTTGTGGGAAAATAAGGGAAAATGAAGAGATAAGATGAAAAGAGAAATGAATTTCGGTGTCAGGGGACTCTAGAGGGAAACGATTTTGATTATGCGTATGATACTATAATATAATTTTAGTACGGGATTAAAATCAACTCCAAAAGTCATGTGCGATTCTATTTATTTTAGTACGAGTCTGTAGATTTATCGAAACCGAAAATCGAAACCAAAATTAATAAAACCAAAATCGAAACCGAAATCCGAAAACCCGAAATTCGAAAACCGAAACCCAAAAACCAGGGTTCCTTAATTAAAAAAAAAAAAAGAAAAAGAAAAAAGTAATAGAGAGGACCCAAATTATTAGCCGGGTCAAATTTGGGTAAAGCCCAAACTGCGGCCTAAAATAAAGCCCATATCTCTCTCCGTCTCTATAAAATACTAATTTCCGGCTCCCTATTTTAATTACGCCTTTTCTCCTTTCTCTGAAACCCTAGCTCCTTCGTAGAAATTCTCCCTCTTCACAATCAACTAATTTATTGTCAGATCTTGTATCGCTCCTTCCTCGATTTCCTCGATTTCCTATATCCACTGCTGCTGCGGATCTTGCGTTCCGAAAGATCGAAGCTTTTTGTTTGTTGTTCTTCCGATCTCGGTACCTTTCTTCCCATGTTATATATACAACATATATTTAGATTTATTGTGAAGAATTGTGTTTATTGTTGTAGATCCTGAACTATTTTCCTTTATTTGGTGTGGGTATTGTTTCTTCCATATATGAAATCGATTTTGGCTACGAGAATTCTTTTGGGTTTCGTTGTTTGTTACCTGATTTTATGTTTATTGACTTTGGCATGTTTGATTTTTGATTTGTAATTATTTCGGATGTGTAAAGATCAATTTTTTATCGATTTGTTGGAGTGTTTCCTTTTACAAATTTACACAATTTTGTGGTCTGGTTTAATCTGTTTTGCTTAAAAAATTGGTATACGTTAGTTGGAAGAAATTGAACAGATTTTGTGTAGTGCTAGGTCAATTCTCTGAATCTGCCTCTTGACCATATCTCTATGATTACTTTTTTTTTTCACAAATTGTTTCAAAGGTTCTGTTTTTTTATTGGATGCCTTGCTTCTGTTAGTAACTGTTGCTAATTATATATTGTATATGTTTTTTGTTTTGCAGATTTACTTTTCTTTTCAAGAGACCTATTGGTTTTATTCTCAATGGCATCTTTGGATATGTCGTTGGATGATATGATAAAGAACAGGAAAACTATTGATAAAGCAGGCAGAGGAAATGGCAGGCCCCGTCGTGGAAGAGGGGCAGCTGGGCCATCCAGAGGCGGACCCATCGGTGGGAGATCGTCATTTGGGGCTCCCCGCAGAAATCCACTTGGAGTAAATGCTCGTCCGTCACCGTACAAGATTGCCAAGGCAAGCTCAAAACTGTGGATGTCTTATGCATAAATAGAGAAATCTGCTATGATGTAGTTTCGCCTTTTAATTTCGAATATGAGAGATTTGAAGCTATCAAATACTGGGAGACGACCACAGTTTCTCATCAAGGAAAAAACCCGTCTTATATTAAGTTCCTGACGGTTCTTCTATTCTTGTCGGTTTTTGTGAAAGTGGAGATTGGTGGAATTCTGCTTAGCATCTTATATAGAGGAGCTCCTTACCTAAAAACTTAAAAGATTTCAAACTTTTTACCCCATCTATATTGATAACTATTTAATCGAGATCTCTCTACTTTGTCATTGCCAATTGTAAGAGGGGACTATTTAATCGAGATCTCTCTACTTTGTCATTGCCAATTGTAAGAGGGGGGAGTTTATGATGGATTCCTTTTGTTTTGTGATGGATACCATGGCTGTACGGAATGATTTTGGGGGCGAGATTTCAGTCATATTCAATTCATGGCTGCTCACAGAGATGAATTCTTTCGCTGAATTTCAGAACGGGAGCTCTCACCTTTTGCATGGCACTGACTGACATGCTGTGGGTCAAATTTCAAGCCCCTCGTAGATTAGTTTACATTCGTCAATTTTTCAATGGATTAGATTTTCTTGTTTGAGCTTTTCCATGTGACTTCTTGATGGAACTTTGCTGATATCTACTTCCTACTTTATCTTAAAGAGCGATAAAAAAATATTATATTTTAGTCATGTTCTGACGTTCTCTTTTCCCAATCTCGATATATGTTCTGGTTTGCTCTCATCAGTCCTTCCGAAGAACCAAGAATCTCCCATGGCAGAATGGTCTGTTTGAAGACGGTCTTAAGGCAGCTGGGTTGTCAGGGTTGGATGCTGGTACAAAGTTATCTATTTCCAATTTGGATGTTGGGGTGTCAAATGAAGATATAAGGGTATTACTTTCAGCTGTGCCCCTTTGGCATTTCATTTATCTTTGCAATGGATTTCTTTTGGATAATCGCTGACAAGGACTTGCAACACAGGAGCTGTTTGCTGAGATTGGAGAGCTAATTCGATATGCAATTCACTTTGACAGAAATGGGCGTCCAAGTGTAAGTTTTGGAACTTTGTGCTGTATATTGGATCTCAAGTAGACTTGTCATGTATATAATTTTCTTGTTGTTTTTTTTCTTGCATTCATTTTAATTTTACATGTGAAACAGGGATCAGCTGAAGTGGTTTTTGCAAGAAGAAGCGATGCATTCCAAGCACTGAAGCGATATAACAATGTCCAGTTGGATGGAAAGCCTATGAAGATAGAGATAATTGGTGGCAACACGGAGATCCCACTCTCTGCCCGTGTAAATATTGTTGGTGCAGCAAATGGAAGAAAAAGGACTGTCGTCATGTCGTAAGTTACCCTTCAGTTTTTTGAATTTGTCCATCTCATTGTCAGTTGTCTTTTATTTCTTTCTTTGTAGTTGTTATTTTCCTTTTGGTTAGTGTTTCCTCATTACATTGAACTGTGTTTACGTATTGTTCGAGTCCTATAAAATCATGTATTGCAATATTTTTTTGATTTGCCGAACTTGGGTATGTTTTCCACTTTTTCATGAACTGCTTCTTGAGTTATGATGTTGTTTCTTTTCTAAGCTGTGTTCCCAATCTATTGTGGATGACAATTTTATGTACCGCTGTGCAGATCTGGACCTGTTCGTTCCAGAGGTGGCTTTACAGCACCTAATCGTGCTTCTATGTAAGTTACCGGTGTATTCATTCTTTTGAGTCTCATTACACCGTGATTGTAGATATAGATCAAGAATCAAAGTTTTTAGTTACGAATATTGTACAACTTTTGTTATTGAATTGTATGGTCCTCGTTTTTGTAGTTGTAAGAAATTGCGCACTTTAAATGAAAGAAATGTTGTTAATGTACTATTGCGAATATGTTTATCCAGGCAAAGGGGTCGTGGTGGTTCAAACATTGGCCGTGGTGGTGCTGGTGGCGGCCGTGGGCGTGGTGCTGCTGGTGGCGGCCGAGGGCGTGGAGGTGCTCGTTGGAGAAAGAAAACAGTGGAGAAATCAGCTGATGACCTTGACAAGGACCTCGAGAGCTACCATGCCGAAGCTATGCAAACTTGATCAAGCAAGGCCTCTCGTTTGATCTACTATTATGGTGTATCAGTTAAAAAGTCTTTTATCTTCAGCTTGTACAAAGTATTGGATGCTCTAACTACTATAGCTCTGGTTTTCTTGTTATTTTTATGTTAACGGATGCTATTTGCTTTGTTTTGCTTGGATGACGAACATTGATTCTGTTAGTTGTTGGCTTGTGTTAATCAAGGAAAGTTAATCTTAATCTTTCATTATGTTCCTATTATCAGAAATGTAGTGTTTTAGTCATTATTAAGTATGTTGAATTTTTGTTGTTTTGTTTTGTTCTAGGTTTGTATTGTTTGAATTAGGTAGTGTTTAGTATTTTTGTTTTCATCATTGTCCGTATGAAGAAATCGGGTGACGTACAACATACTTTGATGATGTATGAATATTTTGAAAAAAAACATGTTTCAATTGTTTTGAGGTGAAACATCCCGTGTTCTTATGTACTAAACATAGACAAGCAAGTGCGCACTCGTACAAGCTTGTGGGCAGTTGACATTGAAATTTCTTACGAGAAATTAATCAGGATCTATTTTCAGTAGCAGAATCGTCCCTTTGGAAAATCAATTTTCCCGACTCGTTTTCTTTGAAGAGCTTATCGACCAATTGGTCCTACCATTTTTACCAACCGATTTCTCACAAGTTGCGTCACCTTTATCCATTGAAGATTCTCCCTCTTCGATTTTGCGCGAGCATTCTTCTTCTTCTTCAGTGGAGCCCACAGCATGAGGTATATTCAAACTAACAGCTCTCTCTAGTGCATCCTTGTGTTCCTTTTCTATTGTCTGCTTCCTCTCCAGTTTCTGTACTTTCGGCGGAGTTGTTACGGTCTCTTCATTCATCTCCTTCAGTCTCTGCAACTTATTACATTTTTTCCGTTTATTACAATAATTTTATCTCGTAAAATACACATCTTCGTTATACTAAATTGCTAAAAAAACTCCTCGTGCTATAAATATTAGCAAAAAAAAAAAAACCCTACTATGCAATTTTTTGAGAACGTAATCCGCTAAATGGTGCAATTTTTTTGGGGCATTTTGCTCGTAAAATTGCATTCTTTAACAATTAGAATAAACACAGGGGTCCGAAAATGCAATAAACACGAATTATAAAATTACAAACCAACGTGGGACGAAAAAGTCGGAAGTAGTAATAAAAGTAAGAGAAGGTGTGGCTTTACTTACTTGTAAGGCCTTTTCTGCTTCTCTTTCGATCCAAATAATAGCATGATCCGAGGTGGCATTGCACGACAGCATGATATGCTCAAATCTTCCGTCTACCGGGATTGCAGTTCTAACTTCCGGAGGATATCTTCCACATCTGTACCAACGCAATTAACTCACTTTCCGAGAAACAATCGTTGCTTTTTTGTGATCATATACATACAATTTCCATATGCTTTACAACGGCTATTAGATACAACTACCCGTGACTAGAATTGTGAATAGAATTATAACAATCACTGAGAAGTAGGAACGCATCACGATGAAAGAAATGACTTTTACCGGCAAAATTTTCTTTCGACAATATGATATATCCGACCAGGTGCATAAAGTCTTCTTGGATCTTTGAGCTTTCTATCTTCGGATATAAACGTATCCCTCAGACACACCAGAAACAACAAGCACGGCAAACTGTCCCAAACCCATTAATTAATTAAGTCCCCGTTTTTAAATGATCGTAAAACGAGCTTTAAATAAATTTCTTCATATTATAGCAGCTAATAACAACTAACCAGAATATCGATTTAAAGATATCTTCCAACGGGGTTGGTGTTCTTGGCAAGAAGTCATCCTGAACAAAGTTAAATTACTCGTTTATTCTTCATGCTCGGGGGATTTAATCGACATGCAATATAAATCGTAAAAAACCGGAGGGAAATGTTTGATTTCGATTTTTGGTATGTTATTGTAAAGAGCAGAGTTACCTGCAAAACTCCGATAAATCCCTCGGAATTCACCGCCATTGTTGGCCACAATCACGCTCATCAGAGCTGCAACGCCGGACCCTAAAGAATGGCCAGCGAAAACCATCTCGTACACTCTCCGGTTCTCCACCCATAGATTCCTCAGAGTTTCCGACTCGGCGTTCAAAACCCATACCGCCGATTTCAGCAAGCCGTGGTGGACGAAGCCGCCGGCGAACATCTGCTTGCCGAGCCGGTTGTCCAGGAGCAGTTTGTAGTCGCTCTCTTTGACCATGTTCAGGCCGCGGATCGCCAGGACTATCTCGCGGTTGTCGTGGTCGAGGTAGATTAGGTACGGCGGCGCGTGGCCGAGGGTTTGCTCGTAGGTGACGCGTTTGATGACCCAGTCGGGGTTGAGGCGGTATCCGCCGGAGGGGGCGTATTTGGGGCGGCGGAGGTCGGGTTCGTAGACGGCGAGGATGATGCGGCAGACGCGGGGGATGGGTTCGAATTCTTCCGGGGTGGCGGTGGGCCAGGTTTCGGTGTCGTCGGAGCCGATGTAGGTGCAGCGCTTCCACGCCCACCGCGCGCACCCCAAGACGACGAGGCACTCCGCCCCGCACGACACAGACATTTCATCGAACAGGTTGAGGGCAGCTCTGGAATTCTGGAGGAATAAATATAGTGAGTTGAGAGATGGAATCTTCTGTTTGCTTGACGGTGTGAATATGCTGATTCTGTGAAGGACGACACCATTCTTGCTTTTCGGTGCGGGTGAATAATTACCTAAAACCCCTTCATTTACTAATTTAATTAGCAATAAGAATACCAAGAGATTTTTCTAAGGCTGCAGATATTTGCAAGACGAAAATTACTAAGTGCAAGACCTTACTTCATGCAAGACCAAAATATAAATAAATTTACTAAGATCAAGACTGGAAATTACAAATATAACCCCAATAATAATTTAGATATTATTAATTTAAATTAAGTTAATTGCTATTGCAAGACAAAAAAAAAAATACAAAAAAAAGAATAAAAAAAAAAAGAAAAAAGAGAGGGAACTCACTCACCCAACAAAACACCAACATCTTCTTCTTCACCCTCATTTTACACATTTTTTTCCACAAAAAAATCTTCCATATTCTCCAAAACCCTTATCACATAAAACCCTCAAATCTTACTAAAACTTGAAAAGAAGGACATTATGGATACACAAGACATAAATATGGAGGATTCTAAGGTCGAAGAACACAAAGAGGTAAGAAATATTGTACTTTGTGATCGTTTTTCTCGTTTTTCGCACCTCATTTCACGTACAAAAAAATCGACATGTACAGGTCGAAATATCAGCTTTATATCGACACTGCAGTGTCGAAAATGTCAAAATAATTCGACACTCATTAACTGTCGAATTATATTAAAATTATCGACATTCTGGTGTCGATATTAAGCGGATATTTCGACTCTAGTGTGTCGAATTATCACTGTTACAATTGTGTAACCAATTTTCCGATTTTTCTTGCAGAGTTTTGTACCTAGCGCGTGTAGTGGAGCTAATGCATGTAGGGAATTAGCTTTGGATTATTCACATGAATTTACCACCCATGAGGAGTTTGCAACAAGGGACAATTTAGTCACATGGGTGCGCGAAGTTGGTATGCGACTAGGAATGATAATGTCAGTAAAGTCTTCAAACCCGGGAAAAAATAGACGTAGAAGGCCCTACGTGGTACTTGTATGTGAGCGTGCGGGGGTGTATCGTGGCAAAAAGGTACCCGGTCAAGACGACCAAGGAAAGGGAAAAAGGCAAACAGCGTCCAAGAAATGTGAGTGTCCGTTTGAGTTGAAGGGCCAAAAAATGGGCATGGATGATGAAGAAGTTGGGTGGGTGTTGACAGTTGAATGTGGTAGTCACAACCACTCAGATTTTGAAAACTTTCAAGGCCACTCATATGCTGGAAGATTAACAAGTGAAGAGATGGCACTGGTAGAAGACTTGTCAAACGCATTGGTGAAACCAAAGGCAATCTTATCATCACTAAAGTTGAAGAATCCGACAAATGCGTCTTTAATTAAGACGGTTTATAATGCTCGTCAGAAGATCCAGTTCAAAGAGAATGCTGGTAGAACTCAAATGCAATTGTTGATGTTGAAGTTGTCCGAAAATAACTACTTCGAGTATCACATATATTTGGAGGAGACCGGCGAGGTAATGGACTTGTTGTGGACCCACCCTACGTGCATTAAATTGGCATGTAGTTATCCGTATGTATTGGTTATGGATTGTACATACAAAACCAACATATACGGACTCCCATTCCTGGAGATTGTGGGTATTACTTCTACGAATAAAACGTTCTCTGTTGCATTTGCATACCTTCGGGCGGAAAAAATAGACAATTACGTATGGGCCTTGAAGAGCTTGGCGAAGGTCATGGAAAGTTGTCATAGACCTAATTGTATAGTCACAGATCGAGAGGTATGGACAATGTGAGCGGTGGATCCTCAGGTATGGACAATGAAGGCTCAACATCGGTAGGTAAACGTGTACGATTGGCCGGAGGATCGACCCGAGTAGCTTGAGAATCGCCACGTCGAACCTTACGATTAACCAATGCCTTTCTCTTGCGCTCAGAAGCAGTTTGGGGAATACGCGGTTCCACTGGAAAAAATATAAATATAATATTAATCATTTATATAAAAAAAAAAAAATTGCAAAAAAATAAGTTTACCAGGCAATTTTCGACATCAGAGTGTCGATAGTTGTCCACAAAATCGACACAGCAATGTCGAATATTGCATATAAAAAAAAGAAAAAAAGTTTGCAAAAAATCAGTTTACCAGTCAGTTTTCGACATAGTAGTGTCGATGTTTGTCCACAAAATCGACATAAACTCTGTGTCGAAAATTGTATACAAATTCGACACAGCAATGTCGAATATTGATACGAAACTCGACACCGGGTTTATGTCGAAATGTTGTACAAATATCGACATTGAAATGTCGAAAATAGGCCCAATAATCGACAATTGTGTCCTGTCGAAATTTGTTTAAAAAATCGACACCAGTGTGTCGAAAATTTTCCAAAAAAACGACAAGTACATGTCGATTTTTGTAAAACCGCAACTCCTTCAACAATAGTGCTACAATCGAACCCTAGAATCATCAACTATGTTCTAAAACGACTTGAATTCATTATTCTAACAATAAAATCATGTTTATCACATTTATTTCTCAAAAAAAAGTTAATTCAAAAAGTAATTTTTACTTGTTTTTCGTGAGATTGTTGCGGCGGGGTTGGGGCAACAACGGAGTTCAACGGCGACGGGCGACGGCGGTGGACTTCAACGGCGACGGCGACGACGACGGGGCGACGGCGACGGGGCGGCGGGCGACGGGGCGACGAACGGTTTTTTGCTGCAATTGATTTTTTTTGTTTTCTTCAATCTTCCCTCCTCGTTTTGATTTTGTCAATTCAATTTCTTTTTTCTTTATGTTTTATTAATTTTTTTTTTAAATTGGTCTTGCAAAAGAAAATTAATAAAATAATTTTTTTTTTTGTATTTTATTAAGGTTATTATAGTCTTTTTATACTGAATTTAATAAAAAAAATTAAATTGGTCTTGCACTAAATAAATTTCGTCTTGCAAATAGTCGCTGCCATTTTCTAATTAACTAAAACACTCTCATTTGTCATGGTTATTTATATCCCAACACTTTATTTTTTCATTTTAAATATTGTTATTTAATATTTTAAATTATGTGCATGAAATTTATATAGGGTAAATTACGGTCAGTCTCTCTGAAGTCTCTCTGAGCTAATGTTAAATTACGAAAAAATCTTTCATGTGTGGGTTATTACAACCACCCCTTCAACTATGCATCTTCTTACACGTTCGCCCTTATGATGTCAAATTCAATATAATCATATAGATAGATTTCGTAGATAGTTCTCTAGTTTGTACGCGTTTTGTGGAAAAATGCAATTTCTGATGCACCACAATCTAATATTACAAATCAAAAGACATATCTTACGGTCATCTTGTTTCAAAATATGGAGCTCGAATGGGCTAAAACAGATACAAATTGGAGAACATTGCACGTAATCAAGAAAATTCCACTAAATTTGACATCGCAAGAGTGGACGTATAAGAAGATTTATAGTTGAGGGGTTTTTGTAATTAGCCAAACATGAAGAGTTTTTCGTAATTTGAACTTATCATGGGTGAAAGTAATTTACCCTATTTATACATTACCGTAAAATAAGTAAAATTACTCTTCATATATACATTTTAGTTATATGAAATTATATCTCCAATGATAAAAATATATTGGTGTCGTTATAAGCTCGATTTGTAGCCCGTTATATATAAACCCCTAAACCAAAATAATCGTACGTAAGTTTGAGCTTATAATCATGAAGACCGATAATATTTAAATTTGCTCAATTTTAGAATAAAGTTTGCCAAAAATTAAACATTAAGTTTGTTGAAGAGTGAATTCAACACTAAAGATCCAATAGTTTGAGTAAACAAATATTTAATCAAGGCTTCATTTTAAGATAATGTTTAATATTCTATAAAAACTCAGTTATATTATTGAATTATGAGTGATTAAATAAATAATCAGTCAATTAATCAAGTTTAGTGCCATTTTTCGACAATTAGGGGTTGATTCCAATAGTTACTAGAATAAACAAACATTCAATAAGTTCAATTATTACCAACCCTCTATAGGAGAGTTGATACCTAGTATTTACCAGTAGGACAAAGGTCTAGGATTCGAGTCCTCCCCTCCCCTACTTCACCTTGTAATGGACTTGAATTTACCCAAAAAAAAAGAAAAAAAAAAAAAAAAGTTCAATTATTTACATAATGGCTAATCTTATCAATCAAATGAGACATTAGTATATTAATCCAAAGATTGAGTATAAAAATTAGGGTTGGGACTGGATTGATTTTTATCCACCAACGGCTCTATTACCGACCATATTTTTAGGTAGATAATCAATTTTTAACTAATTCATTGGATCGGGTCGAAAATTTCAACCAACCCATTTATAACGGGTCGATTGATGGTTTCTAATATTATCAAAAGTTGGTTGACCGATAATTATAGGTCATCCAACTATATTATTATAAGTTTATTAAAAATATAAAATAAAGGCCGTGTTTCTTAAGTGGTTATTGAAATTATCAAAATAATTAGTATTTTAAATTTTAAAAACAACCAGGAAAAAAGATGACCTAAATCTTCAACAAATTTCTTGCCCAAGCTTAAACAAAAAGTTTACAAAACTCCATTAAATCTTCTGTGCATATTTGAAATTACTTTGGATTTCCTAATTATATTTTTTTGCTAAAATTGTTATTAATTATTTTGAACTGATAAACGATGATCACACCGTGGCATTATGTAGAATGTGGTATTTTTACTACAAAATTTGATTTTATTTAAGTAAACTAAGTGGCGGGTATAGACCATCAACCGACCCATTTCGAAACCAAATATTCGGTCGCCAACCATCAACCAACCCACAAAGATTGGGTCGGCAACAATTTTCAAATTTAAGCCGAAATAGTTTGACGAATGAGTCGGTTTTTAGGCTGGTAATCGACCGACCCAACCCAGTCTTAACCCTATTAAAAACTATTAAAAGTATCATCCTCATTCTTGAAATATGTGTTAAAAAATCAAAATATTTATCCAAATATTTTGCATTTATTAAAAATCAATCAGGGCACCATAGACTAATAACAGACAGTTCACTAAACATAAATAATTTAAACTCAATCAGAGAGTTTAATCTAATGTAGGTAAGTTAAACTGAAAACAAACAACTTATTTGTAGAATTTAACTTGAAAATAGACATCTCAGATGAAATAACCTTTTTTTTTTCCGAATGATGTTGTGGTTATTTTTAGGCCAAAATGACCGCTCTCCATTTAAGATCTCTAACCAAGTTGTCCGAGAAAGGAACTTTTTTGTAATTATACTAACTCAACAAGGTGGTTGTAATTTACCCTACAATTAGCCCATTAGTAATTTTAATTATTTTCCTATTTAAAAATTACAGTAATGGAAATATTTTCACAAGCCATTCCTTGATTTATTTTATTTGTTAATTTTCTTTTTGTTCAATACGTTGTATTATTTAAATTTATACTCTTAAAAACCACATTTGATTGGAAAAATAAAATTAAACAATCTAATGAAATCCAATTATTTTATTGAAGCCCGCGTCCAACAAAAAAAAATTCACTAAAAGGCAAAATAACCCATGATTATATAATTTTGACGGGGTCGACCCGGCAATTTGTTAAGGATACCAAACATCAAATTAAGTCCAACTATTTAATTAATCATAAAGCATAAATTATTGCACCGTGTTAATTTCTACAGAAAAACCCGAGGCCTTTCCACATCATTGCATATTTCCAATCAAACTCTAAATTTTACAACAAAATTGATATAAAGTTTTCAAAAAATATATATTTACCAAGAGAATATTAATAAAAAAAATACAATCTGCATATTTAACTATCGCAAAGTAAAAGAATACTAAAATTAGAAAATAAAATAAGAAAATTAAAAAAATTAAAATTTGAAAATTGAAATAAGAAAATTAAAATAAAGAATTGAATAAAAAGCTCTCAGACAAAGGCCATATTTTGTCCACAGCAGAAGACACGAAAGGCAAATTCCTCAATGATTTTAACCCAAAGGAAACAAATTTCTTCACAAAATCCACTTCAAAATTGATTAGCAGAATCCTCTTTCATCTTAAACCCTTGAAAGAGAAAAAGATTCATACAGAGAACTAAGCCAATCAAAATCCAAAGTGAAAAAAGCAAAAAAACAATTCCTCAAACCTAAAATCAAAATCGGAACTTTGAAACACCAATCGGCTTCTCTTCGGTGTGGTTAAAGCAAATGAATCATCATCGAGCATAATAATTTAATTTACCCAAGAGAGAGAAAGATATAGAGATAGAGAGAGAGAGAGAGAGAGAGAGAGAGAGAGAGAGAGAGAGAGAGAGAGAGAGAGAGAGAGAGAGAGAGAGAGAGAGAGAGAGAGAAAATATGGAACCTACGAGAAAACGCAGGAATCCATTGTTAAAAAAAAAACAAAATCAGAACTGCGTGTCCATAGGTGCTTCATCAAAGACGATTAATTTGGCATCTTTTCGTAATTCCTCAGTCAATTTTGAAATGAATCGGAGAATTTTAGAGACGATGATGCAAATAATTTGTTGTTGATGAGTTGCAGAAGTGGGTGGGTATATATAGGAAGAAATTAGGGTTTGATTGAGAGTTGGAGTTGGGCCGTTTGGGGATGGATGGATGGATTTAGTAGTGGGTGAGTGGGACTGACTCAGTGGGTGCGTGGTTGGTTTTAAATGATTAAATTAAATTTATTTAGGCTCCGACTATATGCAATACTAATTCCACCTGTGCAAGACCAAATTAAAGAAATATTCCAAAAGATTTTA